AGTCCTTGGCGACATGCACATGTAAATATGCGTCGACCAGTTTATCTCCGATCACGCTAAGAACTGCTCCGAGAAACACAACGGTAGCCTCCTTGAACGCCTTCTCCTGTTCAGGAGCAATCGTTCCCGTGGAGACACCGGTAACCCAGAACACGTTCATAGCTGTGAGCCATAACGTGGTCTTAGTCTGCCAACGCTTGAAGTACGTACCGGTAAACTTATCCGGTTTCAGTGCAGCGGCAAAGCCACTTGCCGAGAAATTCCTACACATAATAGGTTTTTGGATTGTTGAGTAAATAGGCAATTTCTCGATTAAATTAATCCATGAGTAAATCACTAGCATGGCATTGACTAAGTTGATGACGTACTGACTCTAATCTAAACATGCACGTACTAAGCAAACAGTAGACAAATCTACACATACTGCTAGTACTACTAATATGAAAATAATCAGGAGCGGAATAAACGAGTTATACCCCCCAGTAGGCCACGCAGAGGCCGCGGCGTTGGTGGCAGCAGCGGCGTCCTCGGCGACCTTCTTGTCGGCTTCAGCTTTCTCGGCGGCGGCACGGTCGGCGTCGGTGGACATGGTGATGACGAAGGCGACGCGGACGTAGAGGAAGTAGACGATCGGAAGCGAGCAGTCGCGTAATCGCTGCCCAAAAACCTATTCGCCCCTCACCCCGTACATGAACCAGAAGGGCGTGGTTTCGGAGACCTGCTCTCCCGTCGACCATGTACGACGGTGGGCGTGCGCGTGAGCAGATGTGATCTGTTCGTGGCGGCTAGGGTTAGGAGACACCGCATACTTATAGGCGCAGCCGCGTGGAGAGACGTGGGCTCGACCCACGTCCGAGTCCATGACAGGCCACGATCCGACGTCTCAGATCGTGGCCCAGATGTCAGAAAACTCTCCGTTAGTGACTGGCAAAAATAAGCGCGTAGGTGTGAGCTCGGCTCGGCTCAATCCCGCAACCCGCGGCGCGGCGCGGCGAGGCGGGCGGCGGAGGAGGAGTGCGCGAGGGCCTCTTCTCTTCTCAAGCTCCAATAGCATGTAGAAGAGAAACCCTTATAAACCACTCCAACTCTCCTTCCACTTCCGGGGTGGGACTAAACTTCCCACCACACCTAGTGCCATATAACCCACATGGGCCATTAGAGATTTTTCAGAAATTGCAATATGGGCCTAGAGCCCATCTCAGATTTCAGCAGAATCAAAGAAATTTATCAAGGCTAGGCAGGGCAAAAGAAGAAAGGGACGGCGCGCCGCAACGAACGGCGCACACAGGGGCAGCGCTGCGCCGCCGGGGAGGGGCCAGGGTAGCAGGGGGCTGCCTAGAGAAGTGGACGGCGGTGGCCGGTTTATGCCGGACGGCGACGACGCCACGGCGACCGACGGGCCGAGCAGGGAGGCGGGTAGGCGGCGGCTCGATCGCTGGAGACAGGCAAGTCATGTGGCTCTGTACGTCTGGGTTAGGTCGTGCACTCGTGTAGCCGGTTTGCGGTCGTGGGCTCGGTGGCTGGTACGTGTGTAGCCCGTGCGTGCGCTGCTGCCTGGATCGCTCACTTCGGGCCTCCTTTCACTGCCTGTACCCCGGGCCCAAAACAAATTCTTTATACATCTAGCTGGGTAAAATTCCCACGCCCCGGGCCTGGGCCCTGGGTGCCCGGGGCCCAGCTCCGCCCCTGTCCTAACATTGGCAGCCTAACGAAATCACAGACCAAATTGCAACACACACCCACAAAACATACGCTCACAGGTCCCCCAATAATACATGCATGCGCCATGCATCCATTAACCAATTTTGAACAGCATAAAAACTCCTAAGAAACCACAAATAATTACCAGAAAGCTTTGACAAAAAAATCATAAGCAGGCACCATTTTATTATCCTTGTGTATAAATGTATGATCAAACCCATTATTTGGTGAGATTTTAGGATACATTTTAATATGTTCCCCTTGTCTTATTTTTGTAGAATCAAGAAAAAACATGCACCGATCGACACGTTTCATGAGCCACTCCATGGCCTTGCTGTGTCAGCGTGCCCCGTGCTCACCGTTGCAACTGGCACCATCGCGTCTTCTTTAGGTCCAAGTGGGCATAACATCACACAGGAACATTCTATGCTCTAGCATGTTGCATCTAGCCAGTCTCATTTGGCACGATGCCACGGAGAGGCTCACGCAGGTGGCTTGCAGGTCGACCGTGGGCGGTGGACGTCAGCAGAGCTCAGCGTGTGGTTTACTGGTTGGGGGTAGTGCGCGGCTAGGCGGACCTCACGGCACGCATGACACAACAGCAACATGGAAGCAGCACCCAGGGCACATGGCGTAGAGAGTGAGGAAGAGGCAACCACCCCTGTGCTCGCCGTCGCGCAGTTGCCGTCAATCGAGATGGGCAAGGAACAGGAATGCCTCGTCACGTCCTCTTTGGCTAGCTCTAGCCTAGCCGAGGCAACACCTCTCCACGACGAAAACGCTGGGGAAAGGACTCCGATGGCGCTGGACGGCCAGGGGATGACGGCCTGGGCGAGCGCAACGTCGAGCCGGTGGCGACGTGACAGGGATCGGCGGGTCACCGTTAGTCTGAGAGGTCGCCAGCTCATGGCCTCGGCGGGTAGGCCGAGCTCTAGGTCAAGATTGCTGGCGCATGCCTAGACGACGATGGCGCAGTCCACGAAAGCCTTGTCCCACTGCTTGGAATCCAGAGAGCTCGGGTCGTCGGAGGCGCTGACACGGTCCTGTGTGCAGCTCCTCGGCGAGCGCGGCGCCGGCGTGTAGCCTGTCCTGGAAGTAGTCGCAACCTGGGCGCCCCCGTGCGACAGCAAGGATGTGCTTGGGGAGACAGAAGGAGCTGCTGTCGAGGCCGTCGCTGCGGCACCGAAGCCGGCGACCATGCATCGCGTGATGCTGTCGAAGAGAGTGACGACAGGGGCGGCGTGCTCCATCTCCAGGAGGCACCGCATCGAGTCACCAGAGCGGCGGGGAAGGGCGAAGATGCTCCTGCAGGCGCAACCGGAGACCATCACAGTTTGGTCGGCCTCCGCGAGCAGGCCGTCCGAGAGGAGCCAGGGCGAGCCAACTTCGGCGGAAGTTGAGAAGTGGCCCTCAAAATCGGGTGGAGACGACGCTGCTGCAGTCGCTGGCAACGGAGCAAGCACTCCCCCACGCGGACCACGCATCGGCGAGAGCGAACCACGACCATAGCGGAGAGCGCGCGGCGCCGGGGATGAACATAAGCCTAGGCCTAAACGCGGCGGCATCCTCCGCGGCAGCAGCAAGAGCAGGCCATGGCGGCCTTCGTGCACGCCTCTTATACTCTGCCTTTCATGCATACTCCATGTACTCGTGAATCATGGGCGGGTGGGGAGGTTGTGGATGATGGGTATTGCCATGTTAGCTCAAAGCGGTGGTGATGAACGGTCTGGAAAGAGAGAGATAGTAAAAGAAGCTCCGCCTATGGCGGTACCGCCTGGATCCCAAAAAATATGTACGTACGTGTCAACCACCCCATCGCATCGTAAACAAATTCATCGCGTGGCAGCGTCGCAATCAGCCAATAGAAAATATCCACAACCGCCTATCTAGTTTGGCCAAAAAAAGTCTAAGCTTTACGTATGGAAATTGCACTCGTACTCTCACGGTTAGTGGACGCAAACGACCAAAATTCACTGCAATTAATGCATGATGTAGACACTTCCAACACACATCTCATGACCAATCAGGAGCATAGCAAACATACCCAAAAACGCTAAATTTACGCTAAACTTACCAAAATAAGCCGCACCCTAGTTCAAAAAATTTGAAACGAAAGATTGAAGCCACCACGCGTTTGTACACAGCCAGGTACCAAATTAATACCACGCGGCACATACGCAGTACATCCTGGGTCATTTTCACCCAAGTGGCCGATTCTCACGGCGAAAACTTGGCCTGGAATAGAGGCTTGGTTATGTATAGATTTGCTTCACTTTTTATATTTAATTAGTTTTAAATGAACTAATTTTAATAAATTTGAATGGAAAGTTTTAAATATTTTCTTTACTGATATGTACTCCCTCCTCATACTATAAAAGCTTTTTTTTACACTACATTAGTGTTAAAAATGATCTTATATTATAGAACGGAGGGAGCATCACGTATTTTGATATGCATCTTCGCGATAACCAACTAGCAATTGAATTTTGGCCAGCCCATTACGGGCACGCAAGTGGTTGAGCAAAGATAGCGTTGTGATCTTTTGGGAAGCTTCTCATCCGATTTTGTGAAGCTTTTGGAATGTTATTATCCTGCGGTCTTCCTTGGTGGCTTTCTGATTTGTTTTCGATTATTTATTTATTTTCCCTGTCTTTTGTTTTGTATTTTTTGTCACTTTTTTGTTTCTTTTCCTTTTTTATTGTTCTTTTTTTCTTTTTAATTCTCCTACATCTTTGTGAAGCTTCCTGTTTTTCAGGACGTGGGCGATGCGCGTTCGCTTTGTGTCACCACAGGCGATGCATATCGGCGCCGCTTCATGCTATTCTTTTTTCTTTGAGAAACTTCAAGCTAGTCTTTTTTTTTGCGGAAAAACTTCAAGCTAGTCTGTTGACCAAACAAAAGCTCAGGGTGCTAACCAGACCACCCATATAGCATTTGTGCTAGCCCGTTTGTCCGAAGAATCCAAGTGGACCGTGCAACAGTTTCAACAATATATCCAGCAAAGCCAGCTTATATGCCAAACAAATAGTTCTAAAAAAAAGATGCCAAACAAATTATAGCTTATGACAAAATAAGTCAAGAACACCCGCAAAAAAAAGTCAAGAAAAAGCAATAACAACAAGAATGAGAGGGAGGATTTGTTATTATTTGATGCAAAATAGAATCACACATACCACATGGTCCGATGTGGTATAAGCAAACTCAAACAAACATCAACAAAGAAACAGAACCGCACACGTACAAACGGGAAAACACACGCACAAAACCGGTCATAAGATTACCAAGGGTATGCAAAGAAATTATGTGCGTCGTGTGACACGCGCACAGAGTGGCTTCTTCATTAGTTTGACAAAGCCGCCGGCCTGCTCAGTCATGTCGACACCGCCGCTGCAGTCTTCCGCCGACGGTGTCCAGTCGAACTCGTGCACGAGCGCCGCCAAGAAGCACTTGATGTGCAGCATTCCCATGTTCACAGCCGGGCAGCGCCTATGTCCCGCGCCGAACGGCATCATCCTTATCTCCTTGGGGCCTGGCGCCGGGCCGATGTCCTCAGCCTCGCCTCCGCCCAGGAACCGCTCCGGCTGGAACTTGTCGGGATTGGTCCACGTCTTCTCGTCTCTTCCGATGTCACCAAGGTTGAACACCACCATCGCGCCGTCCACCGGCACAGCGGTCATGCCGCCGATTGCTTTTGCGCCCTCGCCGTGGACGCTCCGAATGATGACCGGAACTGGCGGATGCATGCGGAGGCTCTCTTGCACAACGGCGTTCAGATACGGCATACCACTGCGAAGGCTTTTGCTCGAGAGTATCCTGCCGGCGTCGGCCTCACCATCAATCTCGCAGCGCAGCTTGTCCTGGACCTCCGGCTGGTCGATGAGGTGGGCGAGCGTCCACTCGACACATGTTGCGGTTGACCCCGTGGCTGCGCCAAGGAACTCGAAGACAAGAGCCACCAGCTCGCCGCGTCGAAGAGGACGCCCGGCGGGGGCATCACCGTCATCAGGGACACGGAGATCAAGGAGCGTGTCGATGTATGGACGGACAATGCCACCATTACCGCAGAGTTGAGACTGTGACTGCCTCCGTGCGGCGATCAAAGGGAGGTACAGCTCGACCTGCCGGTCGAGCAACGTGTAGATCCGGCGTATCCGCCTCCAGTTGGCGAGCTTGGATAGCATCGAGGCACCGAGGCTAGTTGTGAGCTCTCCAGCGAGGACAATGGACTGCCGTATCACCTCCCCCATGGTGATCCTGTGGCCGGCGTCGACAATGTCGCCGAAGCACATGCGTGTGGCTAGCGCGAACACAGCCGTGGTGAGTGGCTCACGGATGGCCACCTCGCCGCCGCCGCCGCCGCGGCATAGGGCGGACAAGTCCGCGACGAGGGCCCGAGCTGCCTCCTCGTGCAGTGGGGCTAAGGAACCAAGGCGTGAGAGGATCTCGGCGGTGAGGTTGCACCGGAGCACTCGCAAATGCGGGCCGTACATCACCGTGGCTATGTTGTCGTTCCGTTCGCCATTGCGCCAGATGGCGAGGGAGCCGGGGACGCTCGTCCCTGGCCGGTTAAAGAATTGATCGGCGTTCTCGATGAGCGCTCGGTGAGCAACAGCTGGGGCGCTGACGTGGTGGGTGGTCGCCTGAGGACGGGCTCGCCTAGTGTACCCTCGTCCAAAGGCCATTCCGGCTAGGAGGCATAAGAGAACGGCCAGGAGCATAAGGAAATCCATGGTTGTGGCGGCCAATTGAATGATTAGCCGTGGGTATGTAGTAAGTAGATGCATGTCTCTCTTTATATAGTACCAGGACCTCTCTCTCTCATAGTACCAGGACCTCCACTTCCTCCTCCTCCCCTCTCTCTCTCTCTCTTATAGTAGCAGGACCTCCACTTCCTCCTCCTCTCTCTCTCACTCTCTCTCTCTCTCTCATATAGTACCCAGGACCTCCACTTCCTCGTGCTCCCCTCTCTCTCTCTCTCTCAAAGACTGAACTAGTCCACTAATAAGCGAGTAGTTGTGTTGAAAGTGATCAGATGCCCACTTTGAGCATCTAAGGTGACCAGACGTCTCCGCGAACGATTATGGGCCCGGATTTGCTAAGTTCGGCTCCACATGCTCCTACCTTTTCAATTTCCTCATACTCTTCTGGGCTCATGCTTTCCTTTTTGGCCCCTCGAGTAAATTTATCAATCACAGGGCACTGTCCCTCCATAAATTTTTCTGTTCTTCAGAAGTTCAAATTTAATGGAAGACTAGCTAAGTTCAAAGTCAAATGATATAGTTTAAATAATGGTACCAAAAATAAGGACTTATCATCTACCACACATTTATGAGTTCATACTTTCCTGAAATGATTTCACGGCTTGTAGATATATATAGGGCCAATTTTCGTGTTTTGACCCTTTTGCTAAAGTTAAGCCGGATCTGACCCCCATCTGAAAGTATTTCAGGATCTGACCCTTTGGCTCTCGCCAGGGTGCTTTGCGGTAAGATATAATAGCCTACAGCCAAGGACCCTAGAGGTAGGCATCTTATCCACGCCAGCGCAGTGCTGACCTACCGCCAAACAGACCGACAGTAGCCTATGTAACCGTAGCACCGATGCGTCCCGCGATTGGTGAGTACCCACATTGTATCTGATAGTTCGAAAAAAATTGCGGTAGGGCGTGCGTCCCTAGTGCCAAGGGCCTTGGCGGTAGGCTGTTAAACCGTACCGTCATCGACCCTGGCTGTAGAAAAAGCGTCAGATTCTGAAATACTTTCAGATTGGGGTAGGATCCGGCTAAACTTTAAAATGATCGAAACACCAAAATCAGCCTATATAGCAACTACGTAGTGCTTCCCGACAGCATCTCATCCTTGGATATATATCACCCTTTTCCTTTCTTTTTGGAAACAGCTTTCCTGGAAAGGCAAAGCAACATGTGCGGCAGCACAGCGTGGAGCCGACACTTCCCAATTATTTCCACGCCGTCTAGCTAGAACACTGTGACCGAGCACGGCCACGCCGTCTAGCTAGAGCGGTGTCTATGTGGAAATGCCAATGCGGGCACCTTTGGCGTTACCAGGTAGAGCTGCAATGCCAAAGCCATGGCCTTGTTGAAAGGGGTTAAATCGTGAAATAAATTTTAAGAGAGGTCATTTTTTGCTGAAGTTTTCTGACAAGGTCACAGTAGTGATTTGGTTCTACATAATTTTACTTTCGATAACGGAAATCTCTCTCTCTCTCTCTCTCTCTCATACAAAAAAGCCTAATCACGACACACTTGACCAAAGCCAGCAGGAGCAATGCTTTTTTGCATTAATCATGAGTTCATGACACAATTGGGCTATCAGCCTATCAAGGCTAGCCCTCCACCGAAATATAGATATTACTCTCACCTCCGTCCCGAGGCCAATGTCGTTGCGCGCAAGTTTTACCAAATCAATCTTCGTTCAAGAAACAACCTTAGAATGTTCTCTTGTTTCTTTTTCAAATGTATATAATTTAGGGCACATTTGATACAGAGGAATTTCGTAGGATTTGGAACCTTAGGATTTTTTCATACAATGGTCGTTTGATTCATAAGATTCAGATCCTCGGGAATATTTTCATAGAATCCAATTGTACTACATTTTGGAAGAAAATTTTCATCCACGCAAACCTCTTTATTGGATTCCTTTTTTTTCTATGCTATCAAACACTCTTCCAAATCATTTAGGATGCAAAAGGACATGACACTCTATTCCTGCGTTTTTTTCTATTACCACATTTTGATAATACTGCGAATCAAAGAGGCCCTTAGACAGGAATTATTTGGTTTCTATCTTTTATCATGGCAAAATTATCTCTCCCAATTCGATCCGATTAACCTAACACATGGATGAGACATTTTTCGCTGGAAACTCATTACATCTAGGTTCTTCACAGTAGACTCTAAGTGTCATGCACTTACCCACTAAAAGATCCCAGTGGAGAATAAATGACAAATTATGAAAGTCAAACATACCACTAAAAGTCATGATTTTTATGTGATATTTTTGAAGGGGAGTTGTACTAACCAATGACAACTTTGCCCGTTTCAATTAAAAAATAAGTAAGAAATCACTAGTAGAAAACAGGGCTTTGGTCCAGGCCTAGCCAGCCCATTAGTCCCGGTTCAGTCACGAACTGGGACGAATGGGGGCATACGTCCCGGTTCGTGAGCCCAGTGGGCCGGCTGGGCCTCATGGGGCATTGGTCCCGGTTCGTCTAGACCCTTTGGTCCCGGTTCCTGCCTGGAACCGGGACCAATGGGCCTCGCTCCTGGCCCACATCCATTGGTCCCGGTTCGTGGCTTTAACCGGGACCAAAGGAGGGCCTTTAGTCCCGGTTCTAGCCACGAACCGCGACCAATGAGGTGGCTATATATACCCCTCACCCACGAGCAGGGCACTCCACTGCTCTGTTTTTCTGGCCGGCGAGCGGAGAGATTTGTGGTGCTCTAGCTCACCTCCTATGCACATGAGGTGTTCTATGAAATGCCCGAGCCACACTACTTAAGCTTTCTCCTCTCGAAGCTCGACCTCCAAGCTCCATTTTCCTCGAGATTTGTCTAGGTTTAGCGGTCCGTCAAGTCCCGTCCCTGTCTTCATCGCCGTCGATCGCCCGCGCCGATCTCGTCGCCGGCACCACCGTGGTGAGCCTCTTGTTCTTATCTTCTTTCTAAAAGAAAAAATATTCTTACTTGTACGATTAGATAGATATTTGTCTAATTTTCTTACTTTTATTATTGTTTGTTATTATGTAGTGCGATGGTTTTGGTATGCACCCCCGTTGGCTCTCGTCTTGTCTATGATTCGGATGTGGTATATATTATCTTTCATAACAATTTGGTTCATTTATTATTTATGACAATTATGCCGACCAACGTGACATAGATTTTATTTATCTAGGAGGTATGTGAACCGGAAATTCCAACCGACCCTATTGTCGAGAGGTTAAATTTAGTTGAAGAAGAAAACAATTACTTGAAGAAAAAATAAAAAGAATTGAGCGGGAGAAGATGATATTGGTGTTGCATGTTGCGGATGTCATCGATGATCACAAGATCAAGATGGATGCAATGCGCTTGAAGATTAGAAAGATTAGAAAATACGTCATTTATAACGAGGCCCCGTACGATACCGAGGCTTGGTATCGCATTTGTTGTTGCATTGAAATGTTTTACATAGTTTCAATATATGGTTTAATTAGATGCACTGGAGAGCTATATGTTGTTCAATGAGAACTATGTATGTACTTTGGTTTTAATGTGATGATGAACTTCTATTAATTTGGTCACTTATCTATTCATGATGTTCTGTAATGGTTTTTGACACACTTAATTTTATATAATGCACGCAGATGAACCGGGAATGGATGTATGGTGACAGACACACCTCTGAGTACATTAAGGGCGTGCATAATTTTCTCGGAGTGGCTGAGGCAAACAAGCAGAATGGTTTTATGTGTTGTCCATGCCCTATGTGTGGGAATACGAAGTCTTACTCTGACCGGAAAATCCTTCACACCCACCTGCTTTATAAGGGTTTCATGCCACACTATAATGTTAGGACCAAGCACGAAGAATAGGGGTTATGATGGAAGACATAGAAGAAGAGGAGGAGGATGACAACTATGTGCCCCCTGATTACGGTGATGCTGCAACGGGGGAAGCTGAAGATCAAGATGAACCAGACGATGTGCCCGATGATGATCTCGGCCGGGTCATTGTTGATGCAAAGGGACAGTGCGAAAGTGAAAAGGAGAAGCTGAAGTTTGATCGCATGTTAGAGGATCACAAAAAAAGTGATGTATCCCAATTGCCAAGATGGCAACACAAAGCTCGGTACCGTACTGGAATTTCTGCAGTGGAAGGCAGAAAATGATGTGCCTGACAAAGGATTTGAGAAGCTACTGAAAATATTGAAGAAGAAGCTTTCAAAGGATAACGAATTGCCCAACAGTACGTATGCAGCAAAGCAGGTCATATGTCCTCTAGGATTGGAGGTGCAGAAGATACATGCATACCCTAATGATTGCATCCTCTACCGTGGTGCGTACGAGTATTTGAACGCATGCCCGATATGTGATGCATTGCAGTATAAGATCAGACGAGATGACCCTGGTGATGTTGACGGCGAGCCCCCCAAGAAGAGGGTTCCTGCAAAGGTGATGTGGTATGCTCCTATAATACCACGGTTGAAACATCTATTAGAAAAAAGAGCATGCCAAGTTGATGCAATGGCACAGAGAGGACCGTAGGAAAGACGGGAAGTTGAGAGCACCCGCTGACGGGTCGCAGTGGAGAAAAATTGAGGGAAAGTACCAAAAGGAGTTTGCAGGTGACGCAAGGAACGTATGGTTTGGTTTAAGCGCAGATGGCATTAATCCATTCGGGGAGCAGAGCAGCAATCACAACACTTGGATCGTGACTCTATGTATCTATAACCTTCCTCCTTGGATGTTCATGAAGCCGAAGTTTATTATGATGCCAGTTCTCATCCAAGGCCCTAAACAACCCGTCAACAACATTGATGTGTACCTAAGGCCATTAGTTGAAGAGCTTTTACAGCTGTGGAATGGAAAGGGTGTCACTACTAGGGAAAACCCTAGCAGTAGCGCGGGTATTTTGCCTATCAGTAGCGTGGGACGACGCACTACTGATAAGGCACTACAGGTAACGTGTTGCAGTAGCGCCTGTTGTCCCACGCTGCTGCTATACATGTCTAGCAGTAGCACGCTTTAGTGAAGAGCGCTGCTGCTAATATCTGCAGCGCTTTCT